GGCTCCCTGAAGTTTTGTTTTATTTATTTATTTATTTTTGGTATCCGGAATTGAACTCAGGGCTTTGAGCTTGCCAGGCAAGTACTGTGCCACTGAGCTATTCTCTGGCCCCTCCCTGAAATTTTAATTCACATCTATTTATTTGTTTATTTATTTATATCTTTTTGAGACAAGGTCTCCCTGTGCAGTTCAGGCTAGCCTTCAGCTCACTTTGTAGCCCAGGCTGGTCTTGAACTCAAAATGATCCTCCTGCCTCAGCCTCCTGAGTGCTGGAATTTCAGGTGTGCGCCTTTAATTCCACCCCTGGCCTTTAATTCACATTTATTATTTATCATGTCAGTGGGCTCAGTCTAGACCTAAAAGAAATAGGTGGAGACATGCATATCATAGCAGATATTATTTTGTCTGATTTTACTTGTTAAGAACATAAGAAAAATTTAAAGAAGTACAACTGAAGGGGGAAATCTCTAATTTGATCCCTTTTGGACTTAAAAAGATTGTATGTAGTTTGTTGCACAAAAGCATTTACAATTTTTTCATCAGAATTCTTTTTTTTTTTTTCTTTTTGCTTTGTCTTTTTGAGACAGGGTCTCCCTGTACAGTTCAGGCTGGCCTTGAGCTCACTTTGTAGCCCAGGCTGGTCTTGAACTCCAAACAATCCTGCCTCAGCCTCCTGAGTGCTGGGATTACAGGTGTGCGCCACCACACCTGGCTCATCCTCAGAATTCTTCATGGCCAAATATGCTCAATTGTGTGTCTGTTTACAGAAAAGTAGTTTTTCTCTTTCAAGGAAAAAGAGCAATGACCTCTTTGCATCCTAAACTCTTCAGTCCTTGAGCCTTTTCTCTCTGGAGGCATACTGGATTTTTTTTTTCCACTATGGAGATTAAACTCAGGGGCTTCACACCTAGCTACATCCCCAGAACCTCCCCTTCTTTATGCTTTGAGACAGGGTCTAATTTAGCTACCTTGCTAAATTGGCTAGGCTGGCTCCTCAACCTTGTGATCCTCCTGCTCAGCCCCCCAGAGTTCTGGGGTTGCAGGTGTCCCCCAGAATATCCAACTGGCATATTGAATATTAAAAGCACTTCCAGATGTCCAAACGAAAACCTAGCTACTTAGATATATGTGATTAGAACTCAAGAGAGATTAGAGGTACAGATACAATTTTAGGTTATTCATGAAGGGGCTAGAGAGGAAATTATGGGAAATATCTAAGATCTCCAGAAAAAACATTTTTAAAAATGAAAAAAGTGGGCTCAGTCTGGGCTGGAAAGACTTTCTAGATCACTATACTCTAATCTTTTACACAAAACTCCGTGCAAAATCAGCCAGTCTTTACTATTATGTGTATAGTGAGAACTCCCTACCCTCTGCTTTATTCATTAGTTTTTTGTTGCTGTTGTAAGGAATTGTCACAAATTTAGTAACTTAACACAGGATTATAACCTTATAGTTCTGGAGGTTAGAAGTTTCCCTGAGCCAAAATTAAAGTGCTGGCAGGGCTGCATTCTCTCCACTGGCTCCAGAGTAGACTCTCTTTCCTTGCTTCTAGTTCCTACAGGCTGCCTGCCTTTCTTGGCTTACGGCTCCTCCTTCCATCTTCAAAGCCAAGGCATGGCATGTTAGATGTTAGACCTACTGATTTAAATGTTAGGCCTATCCCAAATTCATGTTGAAATTTAGTTACCACTATAATAGTATTTGAGAAGTGGGACCTGCCGGGCATAGTGGCACACACCTTTAATCTCAGTACTCTGGGAGGCTGAGGCAGGAGGATGCCAAGTTCAAGCCCTGCTTGAACAACCTGATTTAGTGAGACCTTGTCTCAAAATATAAAATAAGAAGGGGTAGGAATGTAGCTCAGTGTAAAGGTCCTGGTTCAGTCTCCTCAAACCTTTAAGAGATGACTAGCCTCTACCCTCATGAGTAGATTAATGCTTTTATCATTGGAGTGGGTTCCTTATCTCGGGAGTGGGTTTTATATAGCTCATCCCTCCTGTGTCCTCTCTTTACACATCTGTCATGGCCTGATGGAGCAAGAACGCTCTCATCAGATGCTGGCCCCTTAATTTTGGACTTGCAGCCCCCAGAACAGTGAACAAATACATTTCCATTCTTTACAAATTAGCCAGTGTGTGGTATATTGTTCCAGCAGGACAGAACCAACTTGGGCAGCATTTTTGCATCTTTCTTTTACTCTGACCTTTAATTCTTCTGCCTCCTTCCATCTTTCAAGGACTTGTGATTGCACCAGACCCATGTCGATAATCCAGAATCACCTCCTACTTTCAGATCCTTGATCACATGTGCAGAGTCCCTTTTCTTGTGTCAGGTAACACGTTCAGGGGTTCCAGAGAGTAAGATGTAGACACCTTTGAGGGGTTACTAGTCTGTCTATCACACCCCTCAAAGCTGCCCACATCTTAATAGCTACAAAGTTCCTTTCTTGAACTAAATGTTGTCTACATGCAATTTTTTTGTTTTGTTTTGTGGTTTTTTTTTTTTTTTTCTGGTACCGGTAATTAAACTCACAACCTTGTGCTTGCCAGGCAGGCACTGTGCCTCTGAGCTAAATCCCTAGCCCCCTCTACATGCAGTTTTTGAACAATTGATCCTGAGACTCTGTCCTCTGTCATTACAAATAGTAAGTTTAGATTTTTTTTTTCCGGTACCAGGAATTGAACTCACGACCTTGCGCTTGCCAGGCAGGCGCTGCGCCACTGAGCTAAATCCCCAGCCCCAACAAATAGTAAGTTTAGTATCTGCCACATAACTTTGCTCCAGACATGTGAAGATATATTGACCCCAGCTCTCCTGGCTTTTCTTTTGTGGACAAAAATATTTCTTTAGCAATTTCATAGGCCACCATTTCTAACTCATATCATCACAGGTTCGCCTGTGGACGTCTTAGCTTATCAAAGTATGATACAGTCTATTAAGAAAGAATAGATAGAGCCAGTGCTCATCTGGTTTTAAGCACTAAATTAGTGAATCCCAAGATTGTAGTCTACTAAAATCCCTATCTGACCGGCTGAAGGACATGTTTACCTGAAATATCCTGGTATACTTGACTTTTTCTTTTTACTGTGCTGAGAATTGAGCACAGGAGCTTCATACATTCTAAGTAAATAAGCTCTCTACCACTGAGCTACCGTCCTATCTCTGTACTATTGAATTGAAATGTTGACTTTTTTTTTGTCTTTTTGAGACAGGGTCTCATTATGCAGTTCAGACTGGCCTTGAGCTCACTTTGTAGCCCAGGCTGGCCTCAAACTCCCAAGGATCCTCCTGTCTCAGCCTCCCGAGTGCTGGGATTACAGGTGTGCACCACCACGCCTGGGTTGACTTTTATAATTAGGTGTACCTAGTACATCTTCAATGTCAATGAATAAATTAGTAATATTTAACAATTACATGTGATCTATAAATTTTAGTATATGTGAGTTTCTGTTCAAAGCATTAATAGGAATATATTACATGTAAAAGAGTTCATGATAGAACCTTGTAGTATAACTGAAGGCTTTAGTCCCAGGGACCATTTATCTGCTTTCTTGAGCCATAGTCATTCAAGCAAGATTCAAGTGTTTTATAATCTGCTCCACTGCTTTTCATCTTGTTTGCAAGGAGTTCAATATCTTACATTCTTTATACAGCATTCTCTCGGCTGCCAAGGTACCAATCTTATCTGAAAAGGAAATAAAGTGCGTGGTTTAACTTGTTTTTGATCAACTTGAATTGGCTCCCAGCGATCTGGTCTTCTTAAGTACTCGCAAATCACCTATGGAAATCCATTCTAGACTGATGTTAAGTTTGCCAGCATACAAGATGCAGAATATAGCTTCTTTATTTTATTTTTTTGTTGTTGTTGTTTGTTTTTTTGTTTGTCTTTTTGAGACAGGGTCTTGCTATGCAGTTCAGACTGTTTTTAAACTCATTTTGTAGCTGAGTGAGGCTGGTCTCGAACTCACAACGATCTTCCTGCCTCAGCCTCCCAAGAGCTGGGATTACAGGACTGCACCACCACGCCCTGCTTTTCTTTTCTTTGTTAAAAATCATATTTTTCTGACTACATACTCTTTTGAAACTTCTCTTTTTACAATTCCTCCACTGTGAATCACTGTGATGACACAGGGAGACGATGGAAATTCTCTCGGTCTAGGCTAGATTTCGAGACATGTTCAAGCCCCCAGGGACTGATGCTAAGGGCGTTGCCCCGAGGAACACAAACACAGGTTCTGCATGTGAGAAAAGATCAGGCCTTAAGTGTAGAAGCCCAATCAGTGATCAACAGATACACACAAACTAGAATGCATTTCCTCACAGGTCTACAAAGAAGTTGGAAGGAAAGAAGAGACAACAATCATTTTGATATAAAACTGATGGCAAAACTTTTAGAGACCGAGTGCCCACACGGCAACCCCAAACCCATTTGTTTATTGCAAAGTACCAACACTGCAATTAAACCTGAATGCTGAGGTTTTAGTTTACCAAAAACCACTCATTAACATCTTCCATCCTAAAAGAAAAGCAGAGCTTTCAGTGATACAAATAGCTTTTTACTGAAGGGTAAAAGTTGGCGGTGGGCGTGCTTTTGCACAGGTAATGTGATCTCCGCTGCTGTGCGCATGCTCATAGTTTGTCGCGCCTTCGCGCATGTTTTGATAGTTTGACAGAAGCGCGTGCAGCACGCAGGTCATCTGTTAGTCTTTTCTTATATCAGATGTGCTATAATTCAAAGCTAAAAACAAGCAAAGCAAACACAAGTGCTTTAACCGACTTAAAATTATTTGGCAGAGACCTCCACACTTTAAGGATTTCATTTTCAGAACTACGGACGGTGCTGTCCTTTGTCCTCCCTTCACGCTCTCTCTCTCTGTCTTCTCAATTGTTGCACGCAGGTCACTGAATTTATTTTTCCAGAGAGAGCTTTCTTGAAATTCCAGTAGCTCCACTTCCAGATTTCCAAAACCTAACCAGTATAAGCAGGAAAGATCAAGCTTTTCAAACTTGGCTTTATTTGGAGAAGAAAACACAGGGTTTTCTCCATCTTATGGAACTGTAAAAACCTGTTACTAAAACTCGCGTTCATAGCTGCTACAATGCTAGAAACTCCTCGTAGGTTTTATGATGGCTGGCTGGTAGGATTCTCTGCAAAGGTTGTAGACTTTCTAAATGCATTTTTTATATTTGGAAAATATTTTAGCTGCCCCTTTCAAGATCTCTTTCAAATACCTGCGGTGTTGTCTCAAAGTTTTTGATATCGGAAAACATGCTTTCTGCCATTTTCCCTATACTTTGCAGTATTTTGTTCGGTTCACTGAAGTATAGTGCAAAGCCTGTAAGAAAAAAAAAAGGTTATTAAGCCAGGCCGTATTGGTGAGCTGTGGACATTGCTGCCCTTTTTCACTCATAAACAGCCAAATTTCACCCAGGCAGGCTGAAATCTCTGCAGGACTCGTCCTCTGCTCAGGCACTGGACATTATCCATATGTAAGGCATTATACTGTGCCTCAGCGTCATCAAGAAGTACTTAAAACTGTCAAAAATTAAGAGCATAAGCTATAATATAGTTCACCGTTTTTGTGACATCTTTGAAGAGAATGCCTGATTTTTTGCTGCTTTTCCTGGCACAGAGAACGTCTTGCTGTACAACACACTGAAAATGAATGACTGGATGTTTTGCTTCTTTAACAAAGAACTGCATGAAACCAGATGCTGCCCCCATCTTGCCTGGTGCCCCGTCACTAGTAATTGAAACCACTTTTTCTGATCTTATATCTTGTGACAAAAAAGCCTCCATCACAGCATCTTTTTTTTTTTTTTTT